GTTAGGTTCAAACTTGATCTTGAAATTACTATTCGAAAGGTTCTTTTAACCAAAACGTCCTGAGTATAATTTTAACAACATCAACTAACAAACTAGATGTCGATTGCACTGTCAATTCATGTTTCTTTGAAATTTTATGGTGAAATTAAAGTTCATATATCCAACTCAAAAGCAATAAATGAAAGTGAACTATGTTCCCTATGTCACATGTAACATGGAATCTTGTCCTCTGGAATTAAGAAACTTAGACTTATTTTGAAAAATTGAAGTCTTTGAGCAATTTTATCATTTGAGGGAAGAGAAAGTACTTTGAGCCTAAGAAAAATGGTATTCTTGAACATAAAGGGATGCCTTTTTATCATGTTTGGGGAAAGAGAGTGTACAAGAACTATCCTTACCATTACATAATCTCAAACTTTGGCAAGTAAACTCCACGCACAGGAAAGGAAAATAGAACACCGGCTTCAACACCGTCTTTACCCTATCCAGACACGTAGTTAAACAGATGGGAATAGAATCAATAGATTCACTTCAAGTCATTGATGTAACTTAGAGATGAACTATTCATCTATGTCAGAACTCTTTTCTCTTGAAATATGTTCTTGGTCAAAGAACATTTTAGTTTTTTGTCTAAAACAAAATCATGGCTTTAGCCTCTCTCAAACATGTCTTGAAGCTTTTGATCAATGTGCTCCTTAAGAACCTTACTTCAGCTCAATTTCCTGATTGTCACACGGCGAAAATCCCTACAACCTGGATTAACAATAATGTTTCAGTTGTCAATGTTTCAAAGCCCTTGACATACCCTTATTACTCATTCAATCAATCTTCTGGACCTTTCATGCGAATTCTGATGCTCAAAGAGATAGAGAATGACATGGGTTATGCTTGCTTCAAACGGAGAAGATGATTCCTTTGTATTCTCCGTTGGAATTGTACGTCTTCGTCAGGACTATGTAGGAATTCGTCGCTGGTCTGACCTTGAACTAGTCTGGTTTGCAAACAGAAACCATCCAATTCGCGAAAATGGAACGCTGCAATTGCTGCAAGATGGAGATATAGTGTTAAAAGATGTGGATGGAACTCTTGTGTGGTCGACAAGCACAGCGAATAAGTTCGTATCGGGCATTAAGATGATGGGGACTGGAAACCTTGTGCTTCATGACATGTATAATCAGACTGTGAGGGTGTTTGGATTGGCTTATAAAAAGTAGCTTTTAAGCTAAAAGCCAAAAGCCATAAGTTGGTAATACCCAACTTTTGGCTTATTTTTGTACTTTTTATGCCTAAAAGTAAGTGCTTTTAAGCACTTTTTATCATTGTCAAACACCACACAAATTAAAAAAGTGCTTAAAAGCCAATAAGCACTTAAAATAAGCCAATCCAAACACCCTCTGTATGGCAGTCTTTTGATCATCCAACAGATACACTGCTTCCGGGCCAGAAATTAAGGGCTGGTGAAAGACTTGTTGCTAGAGTTTCTTCATCCAATTGGTGTTAGAATAGATGAAGGCCCAACTTAGTTTTGTTTTCTTTCTTACGTACATGCCCATACAATAAGGCCTAACTTAGTTTTGTTTTCTTTCTTACGTACATGCCCATACAATAAGGCCCAATTATTTATTTTGTTGTAGTAATTTGTACAAGCCCATACTACAAATAGTTACTTGATTGTAATTAGTGGACAGATTGATTCTTACAAAAGAGAAATGAAAAATATCTTTCTCTGTATCGTCTCTTACTTTCGAACATTCTAGATCTCAGCTATGCTAAATTTCGTCTGATTTCTTCCATTTCCTTTGATCTGACGTTGTTTTTAAATTTTCCTCTTAACAATCTTTTGTTTGTCCAATCTGCCCCATGGCAAGACAACAAAGGAATTCATTCCCTGCTAGCATTACTCATTCTTCAAGGCCTTTTGAACTTGTTCATATTGATCTTTGGGGCCCCTATCATACTGCCACCTACAATGATTTCAAATATTTTTTGACCATTGTAGATGACTTTAGTAGGGTCACCTGGACCCATCTTCTCTCTTGCAAAGGCAATGCTTTTTCCATGATTAAAGCATTTATATCCATGATTTCCACCCATTACAATAGTAGTGTTCAGACCATTAGAACAGACAATGCTTTTGAACTAGGATCTTGTTCCTCCTATGTTGATTTTCTTAGTTCATTGGGTATCTCTCATCAGACCACTTGCTCTCATACTCCACGACAAAATGGGGTTGTGGAGAGAAAACACAAACATCTATTAAAAACTGCTAGAGCCTTCTTGTTTCAGTCCAAATTGCCTACTAAGTATTGGGGTGAATGTAAAACTCACAGCTACATATCTGGTTAATAGATTCCCTTCCACTGTTATTTCAAACAAAACCCCTTATGTGGTCTTGAATGGACAACAACCCTCTTATGATCATTTAAGATCTTTTGGATGTTTACCCTATGCTTCTGTCCCCATACCTCATAGAGACAAACTCCAATCTAGAGCTATACCTTGTATTTTCTTGGGGTATTCCTTTGCAAAGAAAGGGTACAAACTCCTTCACTTACACAATAGATATATTCTATATTCTAGAGATGTCTCTTTTGTTGAACACATTTTTCCTTCTACATCTTCTCCTTCTACCTTCTTTCCTTCTTCTTCTGATACAAGTTTTTCTTATTCTGATCTCTCCGCTCCCCCTTCTTTTCCTCATTCTCCTCCTGCACCAACTTCATTACCCTCTAGTTCTTCTGTTACACCTTCTCCTCCACCGCTTAGAAGGTCCCATAGACCACATAACCCTCTAGTTCATCTTCAGGACTATGTTTGTAACTCTGTTCCTCAATCTTCAGCTCTTCCTGTCATGCATGAACCTCAACACTATCAGCAAGATGTCTCCAATCATGCTTGGCAGGAAGCTATGCTAAAAGAGTTTCAGGCTCTTGAGGCTAATCAGACTTGGGACATTGTTCCTCTTCCTCTTGGCAAGAAAGCCATTCTATGTAAATGGGTATTTAAGATCAAACAGAGGTCAGATGGGACCATTGAGAGATACAAAGCAAGGCTTGTTGTTGGGGGTGACACTCAATAGGCTGGGATTGATTACAGTGAGACATTTTCTCCAGTTGTCAAGTTCACAACTATCAAATGTCTCCTTGCTGTTGCAGCCAAGAAGTCCTGGACTGTTTACCAACTTAATGTCAACAATGCATTTCTGTATGGGGACCTTTCTGAAGAAGTGTATATGAAGGTTCCCCTTGGGTTGTCTGTCTTTGGTTCTTCTCCTGATGGTTCTCCTCTTGTCTGTCGACTTAGAAAGTCTCTTTATGGTCTCAAACAAGCATCAAGACAATGGTTTGCCAAGCTCTCCAATGCTCTTATATCCAAAGGAACCAGTATAGTCTTAATGATTACTCCCTTTTCACCAAAATTTCTGCCACTTCTACTGTTGTCCTTGCAGTATATGTGGATGATATATTGTTAGCTGGTGATGACATTGTGGAGATGTGATCTTTGAAATCTTTTCTGGATGATCAATTCAAGATCAAAGATCTTGGTAATGTTCACTATTTCTTGGGGCTTGAAGTTTCTAGTGTTGCTGAAGGCTATCTTGTCAATCAACATAAGTTTACCAAAGACCTTTTGGATGAATTCAATTGTTCTGACTGCACTCCTGTTGTGGCTCTTTTAGATCTGAATGGTAAGCTTAAACCTACTTCTGGGGAACTACTTCCTGACCCTTCTCTCTTCAGACGACTGGTTGTGAAACTCAATTTTCTCCAGCACACCAGACCTGACTTATCATTTTCAGTGCAACATCTTAGTCAGTTTTTGAATGCCCCCAGGTATCCTCACATGCAAGCTGCTTTGCATGTCCTTAGATACCTGCTTAATGATCCTGCCAAGGGCATCTTGTTCAACAGTTCTATGGATTTCTCTCTCAAAGCTTATTCTGATTCAGATTGGGCCACCTGCTATTCTTCAAGAAAATTTGTTACTGGCTTTTTTGTTACATTGGGTGATAGTCCTATTTGTTTGAAATAAAAAAAGCAGCCTACTGTGTCCCTGTCTTCTGCAGAAGCTGAGTATAGGGCTTTGAGGAAGACTGTTGCTGAATTGACTTGGCTTGTTCTTGGGTGATCTTGGTGTCCATGTGTCTCAGCCTGTCCCTGTTTACTGTGATAACCAAGCTGCCCTCAGCATTGCCAAGAATCCTGTGCAGCATGAAAGGACCAAGCATATAGAGCTTGATTGCCATTTTGTCAGGGAGAAGCTTGGAGATGGTCTGTTTGCTCTTTATTACATCCCCACAGCTTCTCAACTAGCATATATCTTCACAAAATCCTTATCTGGTGTTCAGCACAACAATTTGCTATGCAAGCTGGGGTTCTGTCACCCCACAGCTTGAGGGGGTGTTAGAATAGATGAAGGCCCTACTTAGTTTTGTTTGCTTTCTTATGTACATGCCCATACTATAAGGCTCAATTATTTATTTTGTTGTAGTAATTTGTACAGGCCCATACTATAGTAATTAGTGGACGAATTGATTCTTACAGAAGAGAAATGGAAAATATCTTTCTCTATATCGTCTCTTTCTTTCGAACATTCTAGATCTCAGCTATCCTAAATTTCGTCTCATTTCTTCCATTTCCTTTGATCTTAACAATTGGACTGAAGGTAACTATTTTCTCTCTGTAACCAATCAAGGCTTGTTTGCATTTTACATATCGAACAAACCACAGATGTATTTTAAGTTTTTGGTTACCGGAGAAAGGGATAGCTTTAGTACAAGTTATGTGAAAGCCGTGAATGGTACTCTTGCCTTGTACATATCCTCAACTGAGCCAAATGCTGTGTTCTCAAGAACTAATAAGATGAAAATTTTGAGATATGATTATGATGGACATTTTCGAGCATACGCTGAAGGAAGTGATCAGCAACTGATCTTTTGGCAGATTTCATCGGTGTTTGTGATTACCCCACAGCCTGTGGCAGTTTGAAGCTTTGCTCAAATGGATTTTGTTCTTGTCCGGGTCCATCCAAACAAAGTAATGATCGACAAAGCAATGGATGCGTGGAAGCTAGTCCTGTGGAATGCAATGGACAACAACAACAACAACAACCCAGTGAGATCCCACATGTGGGATCTGGGGAGGGTAGTGTGTACGCAGACCTTACAACATTCCCACAAAATGATGCGTGTTTCGGATGTCTATTACTTTATCTATGTTGACACTGAAGCAGCAGCTCTGAGAGGAGCAGATGTGGAAAGCTGCCAAGAATTGTGCATGAGGAACTGCTTTTGCAAAGTAGTTCTCTTCCGTTATTTTGCTAACTTTTCGAGGGGTGACTGCTTTTTACCCTCCCCTGTGCTGACACTTATCAACGATGGAAAGGAAAGAAGTGGCTATGAGTCATCTGCATTCATCAATATTCCAAATGACACAGAAAAAGATACAGACTCTTTAGCTGCAAGAAGAATTGGAATTATAGCTGGATCAATTAGTGGAGCATTTCTTCTAATAGCAATATGTGGTAGCATCTTGATTACTTTCAAGAGAAAGCAAACATTACAAGAAAATAATGACGATTACTCAGACGAGATATCTGGCACTTGGAATAACAGCTGAAGGTGGCAACCGAGAATTTCCAGCAAAAGCTTGGTCAGGGAGGCTTTGGCTCAGTTTATGAAGGAGTTCTTCAAGACGGTCAGAAAGTAGCCGTTAAAGTTCTTGATGGTTTTGGCCAAGGGAAAAGGGAATTCTTGGCTGAGGTCCAAACCATAGGAAGCATACATCATGTTAATCTTGTTAGACTAATTGGAGTTTGTGCTGAGAAAGAGCAGAAGCTATTAGTTTATGATTTCATGAGTAACGGATCATTGGATAAATGGATATTTGGCACAGGCTCTACGCGGTTTACCTTTAATTGGCAAATAAGAAGGAGCATTATCCATGATATAGCTAAAGGATTGACTTATCTACACGAAGAATGCAGGCAAAGAATAGTCCACTTAGATGTTAAGCGGCAGAACATTCTGTTGGATGACAATTTTTGTGCAAAGGTATCTGATTTTGGCCTGGCCAAGTTGGTGGATAAAGATCAGAGCCAGATAGTGACCAGAATTAAGGGAACTCCCGGATACTTGGCTCCTGAATGGTTTAGCGCGTTCATTACAGAAAAAGCAGATGTCTACAGCTTTGGAGTTGTTGTGATGGAGATCCTCTGTGGGCGTAAGAATGTGGACTATTCACAGTCACTGGAATATCCACATTTGCTTACCTTGTTTATGAAAAAGGCCGAAAACAATCAGCTCATCGATATGATTGGAAACTACAACGATGATCTGCAATGCAATACATCAGAAGTCGTCCATATGATGAAGCTTGCTGTGTGGTGCTTACAAAGTGATTTTACTATGAGGCCTTCCATGTCCATGGTGGTTAAGGTAATAGAGGGGACAATGGACATTGATACTCACTTGGACTACAGTGTTCCAAGTTCACAAACAATTGCAGCAATCAAAAGAATTGAAGACACAACGACTACCTTGTTTCCTTCAATTCTTTCAGGACCTAGGTGATGATTTCTAAGCATGATAAAGAAGTCATACTTCAAAAAGAAGTCCTTCCTTCTTTATCCAATTTCTTGTCTAATCCCTATGATCATCAGTTTTGTGTATATATTTGTTGTTTTATTTTTCTGTGAATTAATGAATCTGCAATTGAGTACCATTCTGTAGCTTCCAATGTAAAATAAAATGAAAATGACTGCCTAAGTTCATTCAACTGTTTTCTATAACAAAGCTGTGAACATCAAAGGGAAGCAGCTTCAGCTGTCATGACTAGACAAAAGTTTTGGAGATAGACTACTCCATAGATATTGACACTCTAATAGGTTACAATTAGGAATGATTACAAAGTTCCCATAACTTCCTAAATCCAGTATAATTTCTCGGTAAGATTATGTAAATAGAAGAGACATTAAATAGTTCCTGGAACGAAGTAAGATCAGTCGCTATGGAGATAGGACCTTCACATCTACGAACAAAAAGACGCTACATGTACGAGTAGTGATGCTTTTAAAAAAAGTCCTCCCTTCATTAAATAGTTCAATAACATTCTTTCTTCTCCTCCCTGCAGACAAAGCAACAATTATGATTTGATAAGAAGATCACAATTTAAACAAAAATCTCAAACTGAAAATTTATGAGAAATAGACGCTACATGTATGAGTAGTGATGCTCTTAAATGGCAAGAGGCATTTGGGAAAACCGGCAAGCTTGGCCCATGTTAAGAGTCACTTTGCCCATCAAATGCTATGGCCTATCCATATTTGTGAAATTTCTCAGGAGGAAATTCCATGGTTAATTGTTTACATTAATAGATATAGTCTTTCATGAGTTAATCAATCTAGTTAAGAACTTTTAACAGCAGGAAAATGGATAAAAATGAGACTGGATATATGTAGTACGATCTAACAGAGTTAGAACATCAGATTGAATGAGGTAGTAGTATATATTCTGTCAGTAGTGTACCTGAATTCGAATTCTCATCTCTTCAGAGTATAAAGAGCTTGAAACCAGAATTCTGATAATCTTCAACTTGTGTTTGCAAGATTTCCCTGGCTGAACTGACGACAGATCCGTTGCATTTCTTTACCTCAATGGACAATAGAGAACCAATGTCACTGAAACAGGACGGGATTGCCTTAAGACGTTTGCATCCATGCAAAACCAAATGTTCAAGGTTCGGAAATGCATCCTCGGCGACAGTCCATTCGTTAAACCAAACACAGCCTACTAGTTTCAAGACCTTGAGTTGAAGGAATTCGTCACTGCCTCACCTCCCATTGCGCTTGTTGAAAATAAATTGCCACCAGTTTGAGCACCTGAAGATTCTGAAGCAGACCAAAGTTTGATAAGTTATAATGAACCAGGTAATAGTTGGCTACTGTCAAGTTTTTGATATTTGGCGAGGAGACGCACAATGCGAGGTGAAGCTCTGGAGAATAAAGATTCCAGCGCAAGTGTGGCCGGACAATCTTCAGCGTCTCAAGCCTTGACGGCAACTCCAATACAGGATACTCATAGCTGCGAGCACCCAAGAATATGCATTTCAGCTTCCGAATGTTTGGTGTTTTTCTCAACATCAGTTCCGCATCCTCGACACCAGAAAAATACGGGGAGGAAAGAGTTTCCAGATTACAAAGTTTCAAGGATGATTCTTCTGCATTATTTATAGTGAAATACGGGACGCTTTTAGAAACTTGAAGTTGTGAAAAATGTGGGACGCTTGGTCAATTGAAGATCTGTAGTAAATTGCATGAAAAATTACAGAGCCAACAAGTGAGCAAGACGAGCTCCATTTTACAAGAGTATCCACTTCAACATAAACGGACATGCGACGTTGAGCTAGTTGCTTGTGTGAAGAAGGATTGACACTCTGCCCACTGTTAAAAAAGACATTAATAAACTCATAAGATTAACTGTCAAATAAAACTTGGATACTTGAACCAAAAAAAGTAGTACTAGGTATGACTTTACCTTTCTATCCACTGTAGAAGATTCTCTTCCTTTGCAGAAATCATGCAACAGGTCATGGATGCGACATGCTTTAATTTTACCTCCGAAACTCCTCTTAGCATTAATTACTAGATTTCTTCCAATAAGATTCTCCAAGTAACATTCCGCTATATCCTCCGGACTCTTTCCGTCATAACCCTTTACAAATCCTTTCGATGTCCATAACTTTGAAACATTAATCACGCTATCCTCTAAAAATGCCCCAAAATAAAGAAAGCAACACTTGAGATGATATGGTAACTTTGTTCTATAATGGCCTTTGAATCATTGTGAATGTGGGAACCCAAATTTGCAGCCACATGTTCCCAACATTCTTCTTTTTTGTCCATTGTTGCTAGAATACCAGCCACCAGAGCAATTGAAAGAGGCAGCTTTCCACACTTCTCTGCTATTCTTCGCCCAACGTTTGCTAGGAGAGGAGGGCAGCTGTCTTCACCAAACACTTTCTTCTTCAGTAACTTCCAACTTTCATCATCGTTAAACATACGAAGCTGAAGGGGATCACTCCGGCATCTAGCATAATTGGCAACTTCATGATTTCTTGTGGTTATAATGATTCTACTTCCATTATTCGCATCTTGGAAACAACCTCTTAGATCATCCCACATACTATTTTCCCACACGTCATCAAGAAGGATAAGATATCTTTTGGGCAATAAAGCTTTGCGGAGATCATCAGCTAATTCATTGTTGCGCTTTTTTCTACGTTGAGAATCCTCACCATAACAATTCTGTACGTGAATATAATTGAGACACCGAGTGCTGCGCACGAATATCAAAGTGAGCAACAACGGACTTGTCGGAATAGATCCTGTAGGCCAAAGTCGTCTTACCTTGTGCCGGCATACCGACGATTGAGATAATATCTCGGGCTCTTGTTCCTGCTATTAGCTGGGCTCTTAACTTGGTAATCTCATCCTCAAAACCCACAATTTCTTCATTCTTATTTGGGGTCCTAGTCCTATCCAATTGTGATGACGTACGAGCAATGTTAGAATCCATTGCGTCCTCAATCATTTTTTTTTCTTGCTCTGCTCCGATGAGAGTAATCTCCTCCACGATTTCTATAAGCCAACGCTCAAGACACCAGTAAGGGGACTTCTTTGCTGATACAAGCTGCATCAACAATGTATTCGACCTCATAAGCTTTGCCAATCAATAGCGTAGCACAATGTTGTGTATTGTGTCGCTTTTCAGCAGCAGCCTTTAGAAAAGTTTGCAAGCTCAGAAATTGTTTCTGAATTATCTCAAGGAGCAAGTGAATCGGCATATCGGGCTTGGAACTCCTCCAGTTTGTTTAAAAGGATATCAGCATAGCCTATTCCATGAATCATCGGCAGGTTAGATAGAAATGGCTTCCGAATGATGAAGTAGATGATTGCCTTGATACGCTGAATGTTGCCAGGAAAATCAAGAACCAAATCCATGTCCTCTAATTCCTCGCTATCATATAACGAGTGAACAACAAGTCCGGCATCAACTACAAAACTGTCGATATCTGCAAGATGAAATTTAAGATGTTGTATTGGCATATAGATGATGTTGGCTCTCAAGAGGTTGAGCATCTCCTTCAGTATTAGTACTTGATAGCTCCACCAAATTGTGTAGAATAGTCTCCAGAAACCCGGCTACACAGTCAGCTGCACGCTGCTCATTAATTTGGATTATATGACTTTAAAGCTAGCAGGACTGCAACATAGATCTTGCGTATGCTTGGTTCAATGGGCTTAATTTTCATTTGCAAGAAAACCAGAACATTGATTTCACCTAGAGCCAAATCTAATTGATTTTCATAGCCATGGCCTGGAAAATACAACCACCAAAGCCTGAATGAAGAAAGTATGTTGAGGCTCATTAATTACTGCATCTTTCTGACACAAAACGGATAAATTTTCTCAGCATCTTCAACTCCTTTAAAACCTCTTTAAGTGAAGGGACATCTTTAATCTTCACTAAAACAATATCCATGAATTCCCCTACCATCAGCAATAGTAGTATCCCTGTTGGCTGAAAGTTGTAATGATGTCTTGTACAAGGAGTAGTTAGCTCTTATTTCTTCTCTTTGGTCTCCTCTTGTTCAGAATTTTATAATCTCGTCTAGCTGTAATTTTAACATTCCACTTATTTTCCACACATACAAACGCCACTACTATAACTAGCATTTCAACTTATATTCATGTGAGAATATAAGCTTTTTCCTTTGTTATTTATCAATTATCATATACTAAGATTGATTGGTTCACATATTAATTATTGCGTGGATTATAATATAAGGAATTATATGCTGATTATTAATGACGGAATTTTTATACATGAATTACTTACTTTAAAAGAGTATTCTTATTTGTAAATAGTTTAGTTCCCATATTACATATTATTAATACTCATATTCTTCTTCCACATTAAATAATCATAACTACAACATCATAAGCGTGATTATTTTTTATTTATGCAGCCAATCAAATATATTTTTTTTTAAAAAAGGATTTTATGTTGGGGTTAGTTGTTCCAATACAACTAAGCTGACAAGACAACTTCTATCACAAGACTAGTTATATGATCAAATGGATATAAATTATCAATCATGTGGATAAACAATAGATGTATAGGAAACAATTAAGAATCATTAAATCTGAATAATTACAGAAAAAGTTGCAATACATTTCTACGTCAACCATCAAGTGTACAGCTCATGTAATTATCCATAGTACAACAGAAAAATATTGTGCATGTTCGAGAGAACAAACATTTTGGGAGGAATCAAAACTAAAATTTTAATTAGCTAAGCAATTATTGTGTTAACCAAATATTAGCAACTAGGTACAAATTAATCCAATTTGTCGGCCTTTTCCTTTGTCGACCGTTCCCATAGAACAACTCAAAATTTGTAGCTTATGGTGATTGGTTGATCATGAGCTCAGAGTTTTAGAATTCAAAAATGCTAGACAGCGATATAAAAAAATTACTTTACTATTAAGCGATCATGAGATAGTCAAACATCTATAATTAATTAATGGCAAAATGTTTTTACTTTTTACTAGTAAACCAGATAGAAATAATTCATGCTCGATGATTTAAGAAGCCTTGTAACACGAGGTTCTCTTTCTTTCTCGAACATGAATATTGTTTGAAGTCACTTATACAAATTAATGCTATTTGAGATATAATATCACATCTAATTTTCCTAGGGTTAATTTCACAGATGGTCATATAACTATGACGTTTTTTTTCACTAAAGTCATATAACTTTATTTTCTCACACAAATGTTATATAACTATGACTTTTTTTCACTAAAGTCATATAACTTTGCCTTTTCACACAAAAATCATATAACCATGAATTCTTTTTTTACCAAAATCATCTAATTATGTTTTCTCACACAAAATTATAAAACTTTTAATAACTCGCAAAAATCATAATGATCGAAAAATATAATCTTTCACTAGTATTCTCTTATTTTGTAGATTTTTATTTTCTTATTTCCAGCCTAATAAATAATAATCCAATTAAAATAGGAATGACGCAACCCGACCTGGTCCGCCCGACCCAATACTCATATATAAAAATTAAAATAATACTAAAATCGAATAGTAAATCCTTCAAAACATGATACTTCTATTGTTTATTTTTCTTTTCGAGATTTTTATTCAAATTTATAGCATTTTTATTTTAATTGCTCTCTAATTATACCTTTTATTTCGTTCTTTTTTGTCAGAATCTCATGTATTCCAAATCAAAAATTTTATGGGGGAGGAATTTACTTTTAGTAAATAGGAATGACCCAACTTTTAATTTATATATATGAGTATTGGGTCGGGTGAGTCATGTCAGGTTGAGTGATTCCTATTTTAATTGGATTATTATTTATTAGACTGAAATTAAGAAAATAAAAAACTACTTACAAAATAAGAAAATACTAGTGAAAATGTATATTTTCCGATCATTGTGATTTTTGTGTGAATTAGTAAAAGTTTTATGATTTTTGTGTGAGAAAACGTAATTATATGATTTTGGTAAAAAAAGAATTCATAGTTATATGATTTTTGTGTGAAAAGACAAAGTTATATGACTTTAATGAAAAAAAGTCATAGTTATATGATTTTTGTGTGACAAACGAAGTTATATGACTTTAGTGAAAAAAATCATAGTTATATGACTTTTGTGTGAGAAAACAAAGTTATATGATTTTAGTGAAAAAACGTCATAGTTATATGACCATATGTGAAATTTCCAATTTTCCTACTACTTTGAATCTTTACCAATTCATAGCGAAAAAACGTCATAGTAAGACGGTCCTCCTTCTCACCAAAACTCCAATTTCCATCATGTCTACCACTCCCAATGCCTATAGCATTCCACCAAAACCACCAGACAGATACCTACTAAACCTACATCTCCACAATCCACCAAAATCTCCTTTAGAGACAAACTTTTAGCAACTGAACAAGAATCATTTATTTCCTTGGTCCCACCTACCATTTACTCTTCCCCAATGGACTTAGAAGACCAAGAGCCTCCGTCCCCACAATATTCAAAAAGCAATCCCTCCGTAAACCATGTTCGACTATCCTCCGCAGACCTTCATAGGATCTACCAACCATGGCGCTTCTCGGTTATAATCGAACTACTGGAGAAGCGCATTCTTCTCCAGCATCTCCGCCGAAAAATCACAGAGCTATGGAATCCCAATGAAAACTTCCCCCTTATTGATCTTGGAGACGACTACTTCATTGTCAAGTTTTCTAAGGAAGATAACATGACTAAAGCTCTGTGTAATGGCCCTTGGTTCATCTTTGGTCATTTTTTATCCGTTCAACGTTGGGAACCCAATTTTGTGGCTTCAGAAGCAAAACAACTTTACACAGCCATCTAGGTAAGGTTGTCGCAATTACCAACGGAGTTTTATAATAGTTTGGTTCTTCAAAAGATAGGAAATACGATAGGCAGATTATTAAAAGTTGATGCCTGCACCTCTACTGATGTACGCGGAAGATACGCACGTTTGTGTGTGGAGCTACCACTTCACCGTCCAGTCCAGCCCTTCCTTTTCATAGGGAATCACAAACAGTTAATTTTCTATGAAGGGGAGAATCTACTCTGCAAATCTTGTGGCATTCTAGGTCACTCTACAGGACAATGTCAGCACAAATCAATTAACCATCAAGACAACTCTACAGTTTCAACCAATTTGGAGGGAACTACTGCTACGGCTGCTCCATCTAAAACAATCTCAATGGATGAGGAATGGCACACTGTCAACTTCAAGAATAAAAGGAAGGGTCAATCTCTTAAAAAAGACAACTTCATCCCAACAACTCAGGAAGCAAAAGCAAGTACAGGTATAACAGTCCGTATTTTGCCAATTCAGGTAACACCCAAGTTCTTAAATATAAGTCCAAGGAATTAATATCTACAAATACACCCAAAAAAATTGACTCTCTAAATCAATCCAATGAAAAAACTGCTAATCTTTTTGGCATATTGATGGAAAACCAGTTTTCTATTCTAAATGATCAGCACATGGTTTTGGAGAATACCTCCCCCCCCCCCCCCAATGCTAATATTAAAAAAACTAATAATCTTAATAATCTATCTTTTGTGACTAATTCCCACGTGGATTCCCCTCATTTTAATAACTCAAATGGCATGCACTCTACCAATGATCACCTCTACCCTAATGATCTCCCTAGTAACCCTATGGATATCACTAAGCCGCAGGATCCATGTCCATCTATCACCCTAAACCTGCCTATTACTAACACTAACAAAACGTCTTCTACCAACTAAACTCTTTTGCATGAATCCAATGGGCCACCACACTTGTCCAACCAAGACGCCGAAACCTCACAAATGGCCAATACTTATCAACACGTGCCATCACGCAAATCTGAAGAAATCTCTAATATAAAACCTACGCTATCCCACTCCTCAAACATGCAAGCAGAAACTTCAATAATCACCCTAACTCCAACCCCAATACTAACCTCTGAAACCCCTCTCACTACCCAAGGCTCCACTGCTATAAAACCTTACTCTAACTTAAACGATGTCAAGGATCGATCTCACCTTGAGACACAGGTCTCGTCTGATACAAATACTCAGACACCACAAAGCCCAAACAATGGCAAATCTCCCACCATTCCCTCCTCAAATGCCCAACCCTCCAACCTACTACGTTCAACTCCACCACCTCAAAATCACCAACCCCTTTCATGGCTAGAACTGGGCCTGATAGGTCATGTTGTCACTCTCAACATGATCATAGAAGGCCAGGAGAAAGTGATAGTCCTTCAGAACTCCAACTACTTAGCTCAACTAGTTTTGGAGGGCATGCAACTTGCGATGAACAACTACTTGAACTATGTTTGGATCAACAATGTCCTCAACCCTCTAGCTCCAAACATGAACGCCGATCTGATCAACACGATGAGAGCCCAGTGGAGCCTTCCACACCACTTCAATCCCATTTCTCTACAAAACATGTCCATGGACATGCCCTTCTTTCCCCCAAAGGAGATAGCCATCCTCAATCCTGTGTTCATGCCTTGGGATTCGCAGAACAATCGAGTCCCAAACAATGCTCCACCCCCTCAGATGCCACCACAACACCCACCCATGCCTCATCATCCACCACCAATGGCACAACAACTGCCAGTCCACTCCCCTCCACCATTAGTGCCAAAACAAAGCCCAAAAGAACCAATGGTGGAAGAACAGGAAGAAGTTGTCAACCTGATACCAGAATCGATAGTTGTAATTTCAAACCTAAACGAAGTAAAGGTTTTCTCTTCACGGAGATGCAAGAGCAGAGGCAAATTCTCAACTGTCCACCGGCACTCTTCAAATGCTTAATAGACATCTGTCCCCCTCAGGATCCGACTGTAGGGTCCCATGCAATGATCTTTGTTCCATTCCTAAGGAGGAACCCAGTAAGGGGGAGGACAGTAGTGGAAAATGGAAATCATCCAGCCATGAATATCAACATAAATTGAGCCGCTAATTTTATAATCTGGAACATTAGGGGAGGAAACAATGATAACTTCCGCAGAAACTTTAGGGAGTTAGTTGGCACCCACAAACCTTGCATGGCTACTCTTCTTGAAATCAGGATGTCTTCTCAT